TGTCAAAAAAAAAAAAAAGAAAAAAAAGAAACTGAGAGCTTAGGCAATCCACCCTCCTTGGCCTCCCAGAGTGCTAGGATTACAGGTATGAGCCACCATGCCCGGCAGATGATTTGAAATTTTTTTAATTTCTAATTTCAATTTACATACATATTTTAGTTGCTGAGACACAAAATATGGTGATTGATAAGACTTTCAAGCACAAAAAACTGGAAGTGGGGTGGTGCCTGTGGCTCAAAGGAGTAGGGCACCGGCCCCATATACTGGGGCCCCAGCCAAAAACTGTCACAAAAAAAAAAAAAAAACCTGGAAGGAAGTTGCATGTTCATTGAAATAGATATGGACAAGTCACAGGATGAGACCAACAGCTTCCCTCAGTCAGGAGGGATGAGCCAGGACCATGTGACTGACAGGGAGTAGACACCCCACTACTCACGTGTGCCAGGGACATGTCACAAAGCAGCTCTGTAGCTCCCATGTGGCACCCACATGAGGAAAAGAATAAACACAGCAAAGAGACCCCAGGTCCTGAGTGGGGCAGGAGAAAGGGACTAGCTGGGGAGATGTCAAGGAGGTCCTGTCTCTTTTACCTCAAGAAAAGAAATGTGCATGCATACATATGCTTCGTTCATGCGTGTTTTTGCGTGTGTTGTATACATGTGTACATGTGTGTGTATATACAGCTTCAGTACCAGAGGAGCAGGCAGAGCTGCCAAGATGGAGGGAGAAAAAGGAGGCAGGGCAAGAGAAGGAGTAACCATGAAGATTAAAGATACAAAGAATAATAACCACATACGCTGGGCTCTTCCCTTGACCCCAACCAGAGAGGGACAAATACGGCTCCCAGGGCCCCAAGCTTGTCAAACCTGCAGGCTCCAGAGCCCAGCGTGTCTCAGTGCCCGCACTGGGCACCTCCCCACCCCCAGCTCAGCGTGCTCAGTGGTGTCATCACCAGGCACAACAGACAGCTGTTCACACACAAAGAGCCACATGTAAAGGCCTTCCCCAGCAGAAGGGCGGAAAACCCTTCTGTGGCCCTGTTCAAGGGCCCAACACTGGCCTAGAAACCCCAGCTACAGGACACTGACACACTCCACAACCTGAGGGCCTCAGAGCCTCTGGGACAGTCTTCAAACATGGTTACCACAAAGTCATCTCATTGACTGTCACCATCAAGGGGGACTCAGGCAGTTCACCTCTTCTCTGCCTGAGAGATTCGACTCTGTCCTTACAGGTGTCCAGGTGACCCAAAGAGGGAAGTGAACAGTCATAGAAATAAAGATCCAGTGATCCCTTCCTTGGGAGGCCTAGAAATGTTTCTAAACACAGCCTCATCCCCTCACACATATACATCAAAGGTGGGAAAATAGGCACATTTATCATCTTTTACAGAGAAAAGCAAAACTGCGAGGCCACAGGGCAGAGGCTGCCTTGAGGACAGGCAGTAGAGGGGGTGACAACCTGTTCCTTCTGCATGGGCCACAGAACAAGCTAAGTAAACTTCTGGGGTTCCCTTTTGACTGCTGCACTTGTAAATGGCTGTAAACCATGTGCAATGAAAACAACAGATATTTGTAACAGGAAATATTCTAAATTACTTAAATGAACCAGGCTTGCTAAGGGAATGTGTAGACATGGAAGGCTCTCCCAAGGATGTTGAGTACAAAGCCAAGATCAGTTTGGAAAGCACAGATGGATTCCAGCTGAATAAAGGGCTTTGGGAGGATCCAAATTGCAGTCAGGGAGTCTCAGAGGGGTGGGAGAGAAGCAGGGAGAATAAAATTGGGCCTCCAGGTTCTCCCTGAACACACTTTCACAGCTTGACTCTCAAGTATGCACTTAGGATTTTTTAAATCTAAGTTTATCAGAGACCAGAGTTTGGGACCC